TGAAATTCCTTTTGCAGAGCAAACAAGAAGCACAACCTGTGGACTTTGCTTTTAATATCCTCCTTTTCTTCTGATACAGAAGTAGCTGGAGTGAGAGGAGATGCAGGGATAAACCCTACAGCTTGACCCAACATGGAAGATTTTGAATATGAATAAGAAATGTCAAAGTAATATCCAACCTCTTACTTGGGCAAAAACTTTTCTTTTTTAATGCCTTCTAGACAGACAAAGCAGGCAGCAAGTGCCTGGGTAATGAGTGAAAAAGTAACTCTTCAGCTGTACAGGTTCACAGGAAATTGTCTAATCTTCCTTACAACTCACAAAACAAGGGAAGCAGGATACAGAAAATGAGGAATATTCTCTTTTGCCTTGAATTAACTTGTCTTTTTGACTGAATTTCTCAGAAATCCAAGTCCAGTGACTGGAGGAGCTTCAGCCTTATGAGCTGTCTGGTCCTGGACACTGAAGAGGATCAAACACAAAATGGGATGAGGTTCCAGAGCTGGAATGCTCCAGTTCAGATTCATTCATAATATTAATATTTCTCTTGCCATCAGGTCTTGTTCATTTGAGATACCTGTAGAGCTCAGGCCTCCCACCAACCACAATAACACCCTGCCAATCCACAGGGATTTCCTATAGGTCTATTTTTAGAGAAAGTTCAGAGTTTGGAATCAATACAAACTGGTTAGGTCAGAGTTCCATCTGTGTCGAGCCTGGCTGGTTTTCAATCAATCTCTTCATTAAATTTTCATGTCTTGATAGAAAATTAGAAAAAAAAAAAAGAGGATTTGTTATTGTGTAGGGAAAAAAATTGCTTTTCAAGCAAAGCAGCTATAATTTCTCCAAAGTTGATCCACACTTACAGAACTTCTTTGGCTTCTGTGAATATTTTTAGTTTTTGTCTGGCTACTTTTGATGGTTTATTTAAGGTGTTGTTGGCACAAGTGGGAGATTTCTGGGAACTTTATAAAAGCTTTTAAGTTTTTTTGCTTTTATTCTGGAAGCTTTTGTGTGCCCAACAGCTGACAAGCCGTTTCCAGCTCTAGTGGCTTGTCCAATAAAATATATTAATGTTCCCTACGGCCTTGATACATTTCTGTGATGCTCAGAAAAATAGAGGGCTGCAATTCCCACCTCAAAGCCTCTCACCAAGTACTCTGCCTGATATGTAAAAACCCCAGTGTCCTGAGGCATTTGTAATATAAAGTTGAGGTTATATAATGCACCATCCCCTTCAATCCTGATCAGGACAGATCCAAGGTCATTTCCTTGGTAACTTCAGGAGACTTTGGCACAAACCCATGGCTTTTTTTTATAATTACAAGCCACTTTTGAAAATATTGCCTGATACCACCAAAATTTCCACAACCCAAAGAGATTTTTTTTTTCAAATTTTTTTCTTTGCAATGATTTTTCCCCCCCAGGTGCCCTTTTTTTTTTTGTGTGAGGGGATGTTGGCATCTCTTTTGATGCTGTCCAACATGTGAGATCCAACAGGAGCGGGCACAGTGGTCCCTCCAAGCAGAAGAACAGTTCCCCCAGGTGGCTCTGGCACACCTGTCTGGGATTTTGTGCCCCGTGGCCCCTTCAGTCTGAGGGCATGTGAGCCTTGCCAGTTGGTAGATTAACATCAAACCAGCCCCATCCAATAAAGCTATTTTTGATTATTCCAAAGAGGTGGCTGCTCTCCTCAGTGGGCATGGCTCCACAGCCTCTCCACTCCCTCCTTCCAAGCCCTGTCTGGGCCCTGGGGTCCTTTAATGTTTGAGTAGTTCTTCCTTTTAATCTCAGATTTAGTCTTGAGAAGAGTAAATGCTTTGCAGCCTGAGTGGAGCCAGCCAGGAGCTACTCCCCAATAAACATCTTGTCCTTTGTTTTGCCCGGCAATGTTATCTAGGTCATTGTTTTACCTTTCCTGCTCAGTCCCATCAAGGTGACTGAAACCACACAGAAACCATAAAATGGGGAACTCCCAGTTTTCAGGACCCATCTTCACCTATTGTTTGGATGCTCACCCCACCTTCTCCACCCTAATTTCTACGCACTGAGAGCTCCTGAGATTTCTCACTTCCTCATGGCAGTGTCTCACCAATCCCCCCATGGGCAGGATTTGCTGAGGTCATCATCATTACTGCATGTGGTGGACAGTGGGGTGAACCTCAAACACGTGAACACTGCCTCTGTAAAGAAATCAACCCCCTAAGGCTCAGCCCTGTAACAGTGAGCATGAAAATGAAACAAAAAAAAATTAAAAATTCATTGAAGTTGACTTTAACATCCCCACTCAGCTCTGTGTTTACCTCTGAACATCAGCACTCATGGCAGGACTGTGTTTCCATGTAACACACACTCCCCTTAGATAATTACACTTAATTGCTGCTGTTGGTGGCTCAGAGGGCTCCCAGGCTCCACCATGATCCCAGCAGTGCTCGGGAGCCGAGCAGGGCCACCACGTGTGCTCCAAGCTGATCCCGAGGATGCCCAGCGCCACTCGCACCCCCTCCCTGCTCCCCTGGCAGCTCTGGGAAAATAAAAAAGGCCCGGGGTCTGTTACAGTAGGATGCAGAGGTCTGCCCCAGCATGCAGGCCAGGAGTTATCTGTGAAGTGGGAATAGCCCCTTTCATCCCAGCCAATTAACTCCGAAGGATAAAGATGGAGCCGGCAGCAGCTGAGTTTATCACAGCTTTCAATTTAGAAAAAACAACCCACTAATGTGTGCTCTGAGCAGATGGATGTCACACAAGCCAGGGTTTTAGGAAGCATCCCTGGTTTTTCCAGACTTCTCTCCTTAAGACCTTCCCATTGCCTCTTCTGAGCTCCGGGGAGATCAGCAAGGGCCAGAATGGGATGGTGGGGGAGCAGCAGCCAAGCAAAGGCAGGAAGGACTGGCTGGAAACCCTCAGACCCAGGGTGGGGACCATTGAGGCTGGTGTAATTTCTGCCCAGATGGGGCCTGCAGCAGATAAGCCTCCCTCATCAGGAAGGGATTTGCACCTGGAGCCTTGGTTCCTGTGCTCACACTGCTTTTCTCACCTGGAAAACACCCTGCTCAAGGGAAGGACCCCACAGAGATTTATGAAGGCAGCAGTCTGACCCCAGCACATAACTGAGATGCCAGATTTGGAACAGCCTCTACTACAAACATTTTGTTTACTGCTCGAATGGTGTATGAAGAGAGTCACTATTTTTCTGTCTTATTTTTGAAGCCCTTTGCTTGTTCTTTTGTGGTTTCTGAAATGCCCAGCCCTGCAGGAAGGGTAGCAAGAGCCTGGTGTTCTACCCTTAGGGTATGAATCAGTGTGAGTGGGCACAGGATAACTCAGAGCCTGCCTGCCTGCTCACTTAAGGATCTGCTCTTTGCACAGTACCAGAAGTAGGGCTATAGTGCCAAATAATCCTTTATTCCTGAAATCATCTGCCCCAGCACTCTGAAATATCAAGAGATAAATACTAATTTCAGTGATTCCCTAAGCCATGCTCACAGAACTTGTCCACGGTGTTTATTTGTATTGTTTCAGCCAAAAAATTGTCGTAATACTTCTTCTTGGTAATTGTTTGAAAAAGCCATTGCAGTAGTGCCAAATAATCCTTTATTCCTGAAATCATCTGCCCCAGCACTCTGAAATATCAAGAGATAAATACTAATTTCAGTGATTCCCTAAGCCACACTCACAGAACTTGTCCACAGTGTTTATTTGTATTGTTTCAGCCAAAAATTGTTGTAATACTTCTTCTTGGTAATTATTTGAAAAAGCCATTGCAATGTGCCACCTGCCCCCTGCACAATGTTCCACCTGCCCCCCTGCACAATGTGCCTGTCCCCTTCTTTTACAGGCAGCTACAGGACCCAGGTGCCAGGGTGAGGAAGACAATTCCCCCATGGCAAGGAGTATCTGGCTCTTTGGCAAACTCCAAAGACCATTGTGTCAACCAACCTCTCTGGTGTCAATTCTGGTTGTGCGATCAGGTTGTTGGTGAGCTGGCACTAAAAGCTTGCTCTTCCAGGCACCTTCTGTCTCCAGGTGACTTGTGAATGTAGAAGGTTGGTTGCTTTGCCCAAAAGACCTGTTTTCTTGAAAGCTTCTCAGCTTATCTATGCTGTCTTTGTTTCTCAGCTGCAGCCTTTGCTAGCCTCAGACCTAACCACATTTCTGCTGGGCACAGTGGCTTCTTTTTTCCTCGGAAAAGGTTTGTGCGCTGACATTTCCCCCACACACCTCACTTTTGCCTTCTGTCTGTCTCACCCAGCTTCAAGCAGTTCTCTGAAAAACCCAAATAAGGAGTTTTGTCATCCTGGGTTGTCCCTGGAGTCAATGGCCCAGAAGACAGAAGAGACATTTCTCCCAGCAGGAGTTACAGCTTGGCACGGTGGTGTTCTCCAGGACTTTCTTTCCATTGGAATGCCCATGGACATCTCAGACAGCTTAGTGGTATGCAATGATATGCAAGGCAGCTTAGAACTGACTTGTAATTCACTTGTGCTGTGGTGATACCAGAGATGATTTGTCCAGGCATCACTCAGGTGATGTGGGCTATGGGGCAGGGTGGGATTCTTCAGGTCCCAGACAAGAAGAATTTTGTGGTGTCTGCTTTGGGAGTGCATTTATGGGTATAGAAGAGCCAACAGCCACATGAGGTGCAAATGCAGTGAAGAAAGTAGCCTTTGACTGGTGTTATTTTTTGACTGGTGAAAAATATGCCTCCTGTCTTCTATCAAATGCATTGAAATTACTACATTAAATTAAATAATTTCCTCCTCTTTTTTCCCCCTTAAATATACAGTGTTTTGTTTCATATAGTAACATTTGCTATAGTAGAATGTCAAATTATTGTGGTAGAGCTAAACTACTGTGGCTTGAAGACTTTTGCAAAAATATGGGGTTTTATATTAGACAAACATGGAGATTTTGGTTAGTCTGGGGTAGCAGCAAATGAGGCAGAAATAAAAAACCTGGAAAGTTAAGAGACTGCTCTCTCTGTTTGGTTTGCTACTTACGTAAGAAACATTCTTGATTTTATAGGAAATTTTCTTTACTCCCCTTCTTAAACTGATGCTCTACTTTGCCAGGACCTGAAACATAAAAATTAAAAATAATGGACTGTCCTGCATAAGTTATGAGACAATAACACCTTGAATGCATCTTCTTTCTATTATTAATTGTCCTTTTCCCAGAAGGGACTGTGAAAAATGGGCTGCTTTGAAAAGTGTTCCCCAGCCTACTGATGGAAGGAGGGATGATGGACATGGTTTGGATTCTACATCTTGTTGCTCCTGGGGCACTTCTTTCCTGCTCCTTCTGCCTGCAGGACATGAGAGAGATCCAAGGGCACAACTGCCAGGCCAAAAGTCACACTTATCATGAGTTTCATCCCCAAACCCATTGAGATGTTCATGCAGAAGGGTTTCTGCCTCTGGGCTTTAATTTCAGCAGCTGTAGCTGAGCAAACAGGGAGGGACCACCAGGTCCCTGTCACTGCAGTGGGCAACAGCCCCAGGAGACCAGGGTAGCTCAAAGCTAGCTCTGGAATAGCTGCTCTTGCAAAATGGCCATGCAGTAAGTGTCTGAGTGGAAAAACTTTACTAAAAGGTGCATTGTGCTGCCTAAAAATAACTACCACGTCTTTGTCCAAACCACATGCCTCCAGAGGGCTCCAGCATTTAAGCACATTTGGATCAAAGAGGAATCCTAATCAGGGAGATATTTTGCTCTGGCCACAGATCTCTCTGAAGTGACTGGGAAGCATCTGCAGAGGCTCTGGGAGGACTTGGCTGTCACCCATGCCCAGGCACTGCAGTGAGCTGGCTCTTGGAGTGCTTTCCTTTAATTGGGGCCATCACTCACGTGCAGAGGAGCAAATTAAAATCCTGGGAGTGTGGCTCTGTAGAGAAGCTCACAGCTGCCCAGGGAAGGCTGAGGGACTCACACAGAACTGTGGGCTTCTTTAGGCTGGAACAGGGCTTTAAGGTCATCACATCCAGTCATTAAGGCAGCACAGCCAAGGCCACCACTGAACCATGTCCCCAGGTGCCACATCCACACATCTTTTAAATACCTCCAGGGATAGTGACTCCACCACTTCCCAAGGCAGCCTATTCCAGTGCTTCTCTAGAAGCTTCTGCAGACCCTTTCCCAGCTTTAGTGACCTTCTCTGGATGTGGTCCAGGACCTCAATGTCTTTCTTGTAGCGAGGGCTCCAAAACTGAAGACAGACAGGGTTTGAGGTGTAGCCTTACTTGTGCTGCATAAGGGGAACAGTCACTTGTCACTCCATCCCCTGCCCCATGGAAAAAATTCCCCTCCAGACACCATGTTTGCCTTTTCAAGAGTGCTTGCCCGGAGGGAAGAGGCTCCCCAGAGTATGGTGTCTTACCACAGGCTGTTCCAGCATATTTTGGGGATACCATGACCTGCCATGCTGGGCCTGTGCCTCCAAACTCACTTCTCATCCATCTCCCCTGTCTGCAGGATTCCCGTAATTCCTCCCAAGTAGATGGGTGAGATTTTGGATGGGAAGGGTCAAGGTCCAGCTGAATCCAACAGATCCCCTTCCTCCTTCACCCTCACCCTGCCAGGCCTGTCCTTTGTGGAGCTCAGCTTTGTTCCTTCCATGATAGCAAACATTTCAAACACTACCTTAAAAAAATAAAAATAAAATTGTCCCAAAACTCTTTCACTCCCCAGAGCTCCTCTTTTTCTTTTCCCAGCAACTTTCTTTCTTTATATTTAAGATGGTGCTGGTCACCTTTGCTCCAAAAATACACAAAGCTGCTGCATAACTATTTTCCAAATAATTAATCTTTCCAGTGGAATAACTTAAAGCCTCACGTTTCCTGTTATGTTACACAGCTGCAATTTGTAACAAGAGATCCCGCGCTGAGCTACGTGGGCAGAGGGCCAAGGACGTGGCGCTTTACCTACACAAGAGCCCTACATAAATAATCCTTCCCTGCATGTTAAACAGTTAGGTACTGTTCAGTTCAAGAAAAAAAAAAAAAAAGGAGATGGAAAACAAAAGCCTTTCTTCTGGTTGTCATTTCACAGTTTGGAATTAAATTTTCAGTGGTAATCCCTTTTGTTTTGGAAGCTCCGGGGGTTGGGAATGCACCTTCTCAGCTGCCAGGCACATACATGCTCAGTTCCACTACCAATAGCTGTTTTATTGATTAATTCACATGTCACACAAATATTTTGTCTGCCATAAAACTTACAGTCTCCTGTATAACTGGGATCTCGACATATGCCAAGTTTAAGCAGAGTAATCCTTATTTCTCTGCCCAAAACCAGGCTTGGGTAGAAATCGTGGGAGATGGCCAGAAGATGAGGGATGTCCCACTGGATGGGACAGCCCTTGGAGGGCCACTGGAGCCAAGCATAAATCAGAGCCACCCTGAAATGGTGAGAAAGGATGCCAGGAGCTGCACTGGTCCCCTGCCAGCTGCAGCATGGGGACAGCTCTGAGGTGAAATGAAACCTCCCTTGGCAAACCTTCGTCCCTCCTCTGCCTGGCACAACATGCAGCTCCCATCACGCTGGAATTTGGGGGTCTGGCCTCCCCAAATCCCTGAGTGTCTCTTGTCATATGTGTTCTACATATCCATAATAACAGCATCATAGGGGCTGTGGGGCGGCTGCAGGGCTTGGCTGAGGTAGGAGCAGTGTTTATGGGTGTTATAAATCACCACCAGAATCATGCACACTGCACTTGTACTGTCAGGATAACAGTGAGAAGGACTGGGATGTGGCATAAGTCAGTTGTAAATTGTTGTCTTATCAAATTGAGGGAAAGGATTTCAAAGGCTTTCAGCAAAGGCAGATAAGCACAGCGTGCATGCTCACAGGTCAACCTCCCAATTTCATCCCTGAAGACACAAGTAGGAGCTTGGCAGAAGTTTGCTGTGGAATGGGAAGGTCTGAAAGCATCTAAACCAGTTCAGCACCCAGCCTCCTGTGCTGTCAGTGGGATTTTAGGCATCATTCACTTCCAGACCTCTAAATACACTCAAAGCATCTAACCTGTGGTTAATGGGACTAACACGAGGGAAGTGGGATGGACTGGAGGATGTGTAAGAGCAGGTGCTGCTTCTTGTGTCCTCTTTTTGGTGAGGAGATGAGGGTCTGAGTGCAGTGAGGTTTAAACCACACTTCACTCAGCCCAGTGAGGCAATGAGCCTGGAAAGTTTGCTTCCAGCACCTCCCAAATTTGAGTGACACTCTTGTCTTTTTTGGGAGGTACCACGAGACTTACAGGTGATGGAGTGGTCTTGCTGGGAGGAGTGAGTGAGGAGACTGCAGGCTGTGGTTTCCTTTGGCCCAACCCATGGCTTGTGCTCACACTGAAAGGATTTACCCCAGGTGATGGGCAAGAGCCTGGTGCCCACGCCAGGGCCAGTCCCAGGGGTCAGCTTTGCTGCCCTGGGCAGACCAGCCACGTCAGCTGCAACCTACAGGAGTAGGCCTTCAAAAGGGAAACAGTTTGACATTAGGCAAACAAGAGAACAGCTTCCAAAAGGCATGAAAATTAGCTCGTTTCATGCTTAGAATAACCCCATTACTTCAATATCCTGAATGAATTATGCCAAACTTCCCATGCACACACGCACACGCACAAAATCCCCCTTTGGGCTACTTAACAACAGTGAGAAATTTCAGAAGAAGCAGCTCCTGAAAAGAGGGAATTTGAAACAAAAGTGTTCTTTGGAGCAGAACTACAAAGTGTGTATCATTGTGCTTTGATATTTAGAATGGCAATTGTGCTTCTTATTGTGAAATATATTTCTTTTGTACCAGCAAATCCTTGAAAAAAGCTTAATCTTGCACACATTGTGCATTAGGAAAATTCTCAAATTAAGATCTCTTTGAGACACTGATCAATGCAGTGGTGAGGAAGGCCAGGAGGAACAAAAAAAAACAGCTCAGAGAGGGAAAATTACTTCCTTCTGGACAGAGAGGGCTATTTGTTGTAAGCAAGGATAGGGGGAGCTTACACTGCATTATGAGAAATGGCATTTGTGACTTCACTTCTCCTGTGTGAGAAGGTTTACTCCCAGGTCAAGCAGCTATAGAGGTAATTGTTCTTCAAGAGTGTCTAATGTCCTCCTCACACATGGATGCTGTCAAACTCCACGCAATTTAAGAGCTTAAAAACTTCTTTGTGAACTTTTTTACTTCAAAGCACAGAATAAAACGCTGGACTCACATGAAGTCCTTGCCTTTTCCCCATGCCTGCTCTTGGTTGCTTCTCTACATGTGACTAAACCATGAGTCCACTTTTTTCATCAGAGTGATCCAAAAGACTGTGTGCCACCTGGAAATGACTTTGTGTCAGCACAACTCTTATTAGACATCACAGTGTCCCTACCAGCAAATTGGCCCAACCCTGGGAGCACTTCTACCCTTTCTTGCATGGAAGAGACACAAATCCAGTGTAAATTTGTATATACTTTTCCCACCACTTGCAGGAATTTGTAGTTTGGATATCTTCTCCCAAGTTTGAAGCAGTGGGTGGCAAACCTTGGAGAAGAAATGGAAAGGCTAGAATGGGAGATCATATATGGCTGGGAAAAGGAATGCAGCAGGAAAGGTGATGAATTGGTGAAAAGAACAAGCAAGCAACCAAAAAGTAAAATAAACTTACAGAAACATAGAGAAGTTCCAGTGAAAGGGGAAAGAGAAACAATCTGGGAATGTCAGGCAGCAATGTGGACAGTATATTTAGTTAAGCCACTGACACTGGTGGGAAAAGTGACAATTGCAGGGTTTAGATCTTAATCCAACAAGGGAATTTCAGCATAGGCTTATTTTTAGACATGTGAGTAATCCTCATGATTTCAGATCAGAAAGGTAGATCCCAGCTGGTATCATCCTGCTGTCAGTGTGGACCTCATTGTTAGGAAAAAAAAATGTTTTAAACCTCTTTTAAGTCACATTTTATTTTCCCTGTGAAAAAAAATATACATACCCAAATTTATTCAGATTGATAAAGACATGGAGGTGGCTGTTGTGAGACGGGGAAACAGGGTTTGAGGTTTCCTGTGGGCTGAGACAGGTCTGCCTGGGAGGCTGCTCCTGC